GGGGGGGGGGGGGGGAGGGGGAGAGGGGGACAACCCTGATGCTCCGCTCCGATTGCGGGACGACGCTGTCCCTGCGACGTCGGCGTCTTACCATCCTACGGGGAAACGTTCGGTTCGGGAGACACGGTGTGCTTGAAGAACCCATTCGCGACAGAGGCGGTGAATGTCCCGCGTGCGATTGCCTCCGCCTTCCTCGGGCGTGCTCGGGCGGCTTGTTACGGTGGGCTTGGTTCGTCAGGTTCGTCCTCGGAGGGCTCGGAATTTAGGTTCAGGTTCAGGGTCAGGTTCAGATCCGGTGTGCGAAAACGTTCTCGTCGAGGCGAATGATGTGGACGCGATAGCGTCACGAAAAGGGAGTCGGGCGTGTGCGTTTAAAGGGCGGAGGACGGTAGAGGGAGGGAGCGAGGACGACAGGGTTGCTCGTGCCGAGCGGTGTTTTGGATACCTGAATAACAGCTGAGTAGGTTACTTTAAAAGAAGCGCTGAGCGTCTGAGCGATTTGAGAAATGTCGCTAGGTCTCTTTTTAAAACCGTCGATCAGAACTAGACAATGCTATGCATCCGTGTGGCATAGCGTTTCGGATTGTTCGTATTTTACGCTTGTGGACTTGAGAGAGTCATTCATAGGTTGAATTGTAATGGTGTTTTCTCAATTGGTCGATTCGGTCGCTCCAGGAGACCGCGCGGAACGATACCGACGCAACGTGCATCACCAAGCCTGATGTCCCAATAGAATTTCATCTGGGGTACATTAACCTCCAATACGTAAAAAAAATGCATTGAACGTACATTAATGTACATTAACCTAAACCTGCTTGGGAAATCTTATTAACTTACAACACAACTAGATCAGGGAAAGGAAAAATCTTCTCGTAGATGCGCGTTCTTTTTTCCTTCCATTTCATTTTATTATCTCTTTTCCAGTGAAAGTCAGCGTCGCAGAATGGTGGTGGATTATTGCTTGTCGATTCAAACCTCAGCAACTGCAGTAAGAAAGCAGGAGCGAAGGTTAGGTGGCACAGTGGGTGCAAAGATGCAACCCAACAGTGGTGGAGGATGTGGAATGACACCCAAAGAGCTCTCCGACAATGACGACTTGGCTACGTCCCTCGTGCTGGATCCCTATCTAGGATTTACCACCCATAAGATGAATATCAGGTATCACTGTTTGACTAAATCGATAAATCAAGATACTTTTCAGAAAGAGCTGTAGATAACATAGGCCGGTATTCATAGTCGATTCATAGTCAATTCTTATTTCAAGATCGTCTTAAGTAATGTCTTAAGACGCTAATGCAGCTCTCTGGCCGGTATTCATAGTCGATTCTTATTTCAAGACTGTCTTAAGTAATGTCTTAAGACACTAATGCAGCCCTCTGATTGGTTCGTGACTTCTTAAGACCGTATTTAAGACGGTCTTGAATATAAGATCTGACTATGAATACCGGTCAATAGTGTAACACAGTGAATCATTATATCCTTGTGAATTATTATACCCTTATTGTCTGTCAATGTTAAACAAAGATGAAACAATTCACTGTTACATTATGTCATTAATGTCTCATCTCTTGTTAGAAAACATTTTCAACTTGCAAGTTATTTATAAAAATTATTTACTAAAGTTCCAATCTATCCGACAGGTACAGACCATTGAAGGCGAACAAGGAGGAACTGCGTAAAATCATCTGTGAATTTATTCAAACTCAAAACTATGAGAAGGCATACAAGAAATTGATGGGTGGAGACTGGGGCGCACGACTTCCCCACACAAAGTCTAAACAGCAGCAAATCAATCTGGAGAATCACGTAAGTTACACATGTATAGCAACGCTGTTTTATAATCAAATTGTTTTATTTTAGCAAGAAATTTGCATTGCTTTTATGATATAAGAAATATATTGTGTGTGTGTAATAATTCTTTTTTTTACAGATCAAGCGATACTTGCGAGTTTTTGATAAGGATTCTGGCTTTGCCATAGAGCCGTGCTATAGATATAGCCTAGAAGGACAAAAAGGTGCTAAGATATGCGCCACAAAGAAATGGATGAAGCACGACAAAATCTCTTGCCTCGTCGGTTGCATAGCGGAGCTAAGTGAAAAGGTTTGAGCTTTGCAAAGAGTGTATAAAAAAGAAAAATTTAATTTAAAAAGTTTTCTCATTATTTCTGCATTTTTTGTTTATTTTTATTTAATAATATATATCGTCATTTTTCTATGCTTTTAGGAAGAAGCTGCGTTGCTGCATCCTGGGAAAAATGACTTCTCTGTGATGTTTAGTTGTCGAAAGAATTGTGCTCAGTTATGGTTGGGACCGGCCGCATATATAAATCATGACTGTAGAGCGAATTGCAAGGTAAGAAATTTGAACGTGGTTGCGTAAAAATTATTATGTAAACTCGGAAAAATTATTTTCACAGTTTGTGGCAACGGGAAGAGACACGGCATGTGTCAAGGTATTGCGCGATATCGAGGTGGGCGAGGAAATCACATGTTTCTATGGAGAGGATTTCTTTGGTGATGGCAATTGTTACTGCGAGTGCGAGACCTGCGAAAGGCGAGGGACTGGCACTTTTGCGAGCCAGAAGCCGGGCGAGGAGATGTCGTCTGGTATGTTGCACGTAACATTTATAGGACAAAGTCCGTCTTTGAGTCGGTCAGTTTTGTCATTTCTATTTTTTCCTATTTTCTATTTTTAGGCTATCGTTTGAGAGAAACGGATAATCGAATCAACCGAACTAAACATCGACAGCAGCCATTGAACAGGAATAAACAGCAAGCCGATACTGCTCTCACCGAGCGAAACGCGGTCCTGGTTGGAAATGCGGCAGTTGCACCACAATCTCTCAGCATGAAGGAGCTGCGACGCAAAGGGCTTACCAAGTACGACGCTGAGCTATTGATCGCACAAGGCTGTCGTTTCTCGGATATCAATCAGCAACAGCCAGCGATCAACAACGGTGAAAATATGCTGCAGACTCGAGCGCATCCCTCCGCGATTGCAACTTCCGTCACGAGGAGTCTCCGTAACAAACAAATGTGCAAGTTTGATGGCAATACCAGTGATGGAAATATCATCAAGAATACTCAATCGCTTAGAGCGTCCAGGTATTTTATTAGGCTCTTTTGTGCGATTAATCCTGTTGATCTGTTCGGATCTATTTTATTCAAAATGTAATTTATCTTTTTTTACTAATATATTATTTAAAAACTTTTCCTCTGATATTTATTTGATGACTTCGTCTGTAATGTAAGATCTCTTTAAAAATGTTTTTATTTTTAATTATATTTATTCAAACGATATGATTGTATAATAAATTTAAACAGTAAGGTTAAATGTGTTTTATTTTAATTTTAAATTATAATCTTTAATTTTGATTGGGTAGACTTCACAAGAGAACGGAATCAAAGAAAGGAAAAATCAACATGAAGCCTGCATTGCTCTGTCTCAACAATCCCGCTGTGAAAGACATGGAAGTGGCAGATATCGGTCATCGAAAGGAGGATTCTGATAGAGAACCGGTTCACAAGGAAAATTTATATTCACGATTGCAAAAGCATCATTTGCCGAACGCGTCGGAGATGGATCGCGGTTTCCACATGGAACAAACACGACAGCGTATCGTGACGGAGGAATCAAACGAAGATGCTTGTCCGCTGCGACTGATGGAGATAGAAGACGCTGGTGATGGCGATTCGATGGAAGACGATCGGGGAATACCGGATCTCACCGCGGAAGTCGATCCTGAGACATTAGATAATGTTAATTCTTCCAGTTACAAAAAGGGACATTATAGTACAAATGCCTGTGATTCAATCCGATTAAGTTCCACGTCTCAAGCCCATGTACAACAACGCTTACGTACTGCAGAATCTAATCCCGAAGATACGAACTATCGCTCAAGGGATTATCATTCTTTATCGCCTATGCGGCATAAGGAAAGCGAAAACGCCCCTTGTAACACGATTGAACAAGCGAATTGCATTAACAAACGTTCCAAGTCTCATAGCAAACAACTTTCCTCGACGGATGAGCAAGATGATCGTAAGACGCCCAACGAGGAGTCATCTTACGAGTTTGAAGACGATGAATCGCCATCGCCACTGATTGAAGAAAAGAAAATGTTGCAGGCCAACTTTCGAGAGAACGACATCTTGCACGAGACGAACTCTCGGTCAGATGACGAATGCTGCGATTTGAATTCTACGAAAGTAATTGTAGTGCATGATGTGGAGAAAGAAGAGGAGAGTGAAAGTTGCGAGAGTCCGATCGCCGTCGACACGTCGGCGACGAGTCGCTCAGACAGTGTTGAGTTTTGTGGATTGAACTCCGACGGAGTCATAGAAGCGGAAGCTGATACCGAAAATATTTTAAAATGTTATAATAATACAGTTTTGAATCAGGAGGGAAAGCAGGACGTTGTGACAAAAAGTGATACGTACGTCGCAAGTGTTGAGCCTGGCGTCAGATCCGAAGTGGCAATGTTATGTGCAACGGAGATGAACTCCAGAATAAATATTATAGAAGGAAATAATGCGATGATTTTTAGTAACGTACAGATTACGAACTATAATAGTGATCTGACGAGCCATATGAATTTAGAAGACAATCGCAATTCCGCATTGGTAAAAAAATCGACATCCAGGCTCTCGAAGTCGTCTCGTAAATTGCAGAAGAGACTTTCGAACGCCAAATCCAAGTTCGGAGTATTGACAGAGGGTGTTCAGGACGATTCGAAGAGTCACAGTAAGGGGAAGAGCAAGAACAAATCTACCAAAAGTCAGAGAAGGGATCGGCAGAGATCGGCGACGGCCGAGATAGGAGAGGCTGACGACGATTCAGGTATCCAAGGCGATATCTATGAATTTAGTGAAAAGGAAAGCAACCTGGAAGACATTGGTATACTGTCTATAATAAGACGAGGCAAGCACGAATCTCGTCATGCGTCCTCTTCCTCGATAGCGGTGTCACCTGTGCAGGAGATGCAATGTAATGACGAGTACAATAAAGCTGAGCCACCGGTACTGATTCCAGAAGAACCGTGGCCTCCGACCGTGGCTCAGAGCGAACATGGCGTGGAATCCAATAGTGGTGTTCAGTCTAGAGAAAACTGTGATGTTGAAAGGAGCTTGGAGCGGTAAATATGCAACGAATATATTGTATAAAATTATTTCTACCATTTAAAACATTAATTAAATCCATAATTTTAAGAGATGCTGTACTTTATCAAATTTTCTTTTCTAAGTCGAGTTGATAAATTGGAGGGATCTTTTTTTTTTTAGATTGACATCCTATGAGAACAATAGTAGTACACGAAAATCAAGCACGACCCCGTCCGAATGTCAATGGCGAACAAGCAATCCGAGCAATTGTCGAGTTTGTCCTGTCACGCCAGAAAGGACCAGCGGACGATTGAAGCTGACGCTGCGCATGAAGCGATCACCCGTGCTGGACGATATCGTCGAGTCTGGCACCAGCGGTTTGAGCGAGGACAGCTACGAGCCGGAATATGAAGTGTTGCGTGTCGAGGGATTGGAGAGGCGCAAACGCCGAAAGAAGCACAAGAGCAGGGATCGCGAGAGACGGCATAAGAAGTCGCGTGTATTGAACTTGGATCCGCCACCGCCGCCCATGAAAAGATTACGCTTGATTCTCGGCAACGAGACTCGCACTATCGATTTAACGCATTCTTAACAGCTATAATTCCACCTGCCTTCGCTCTCTCGACTTGCGCCCCCTGCCCTTCCATCATCATGACGTGTAATATCGATTTTATTATGATATAGACTATCTTTTTAAACATAATTAAAAACGAAAGATTATCCAAGCCTCCTCGTCCTACGACATGTGACAGCGAGTTCATATCGAACTTGAAGATACTTTTCACAATTGAACTTGATTTAGTGGTAGAACTAGTATCACTACTTTTCCTTCCTCTATCTTTTTCATTTTATCTTTCATCTCTATCTTTCTATCTCTTTCTCTCTTGTAGTTATTTAAATCTTTTAGCGGTATATGTCTTATTCTTATAACAACAACGAATCTCTGAGGGCCTATCGAGATGTCGTAAGCGAGAAAACGCGTAGGTGGAAGAAGTTTTAAATCGCGCACGTACACGTTTCTCCCATGTAAAGTTAAATACCGCGTATAAATCAGAACCACAATATGTGAATATACTTATCCAAGCAGTTCCAAACGTGAATACTTATCCAGAGATTATTAAAGTGCTCTAGCGTACTAAACAAATAATTCCACTTAGTGATTCAATTGGAGCCAGGCCGAGTATATTATTTTTCGAAATTTTTGCCGTCTTTAATAAAAAATATCGAATCGAATTTCCATAGATGATTTCTGAAAAAAATCTTTCTCCTTTTTCTTTTTGCATTTCTTTTTCCACAGGTAATAGTTTCTTAATAAACTATATCTTGACAAATATATGCAACAGTATCGATCTCGTACTTTATGAAATAAACCAAATTAAACTACCAAGTAGCCAAATTAAATTGTACAAGTTACATCTCGGTGAAACCGTTTCGTAAAGAAATTTATTATTGCTGTTTTCCATGGTACTCCGAAACTGAGAAAAAGGACGAAGGAGGAGGATCTCTATACTTATACTATGTATAATAATGATTATCTAACTGATTAAAAAAAAATTTAGCTAAATATTAGTTAGCACTTATAATCGCTATTCTCGAACGAGAGGTCAAAAATATCATGTGGAGAACCTTGTAAATATTGCTTATACATATATTGTATGAAATATATATATATA